TATCTATCTATCTATCTATCTATCTATCTATCTATCTATCTATCTATCATCTATCTATCTATCTATCTATCTATCTAATTTCTTACTCATGTCTCTGTTTAATGGAGGTAGTGGCAGCAAAGAGGGCTCTGATCCACACAGCATTTCAGACATTTGGTGTCTTCCTATCTGTAGCATTCCTAAGGCTACCACCTACTCTAATAAGCTTGTAAACACAGAAGAACTATTCATGAGACGTTTGGGAGGACATATTTGATGGTGCACCTGGCTTCCCTCATTCATTTGCTAAAGCTCAATCCCATGATTATAGTGGTTATCTCCATCATATGACCTGTATTTTAATTAAAGGCCAGGCTGAGAAATACACAGTTTAATTGTGCCTAGAAGAGAGGTAGAATCGAGATGTTGGTAAAGAGCAGACGTCAGGTATGGGGGAGACCAGACCAGGTTATTGCCCGCTGGCTCTCTCGCCTACAAATAGAAACTGTATTTGTTGATGGCAAAGGTGTTGTTTTAATTCCCTCTTATAATGCATCGCTTTATCACACATTCCAAACTCTCACTGGAAAGAAAGAACCTATTTTTGGATACCTTGATTCTGGCGTTTTGTCTCTGGTCTGAGAACATTAAGAAAAATTACATAGGAGTGAGCAGAATAAAAAAATCAGGGTGGATATTGAACTTCAATTTTCTTTGAACTTTAAATCACAAGGGAAAAGAGAATATGATTTTGGACTTTAATATCTTTGTACTTTAATTTAATCATGAACTTTAATTTTTTTCAAGAAAATTCATGATGAGAAGTAGTTTATATTAAAATGTGGGGCATCTTCTAAGTGGCATTTCATTACTGAAAGTCTCTTAATGTTGTCATTGAATTTCACTGTAGAAATATAAGAATCTATGTTTAGAGTAGCTGTGTGATTTGTCATCCAAACCAGAATGGTTTTGAGAAAGGAAAGCATCTATTAATAATTATATGGGAAAACAGGTACAAACTTGGACTATTTTAGATGAATTAAAATGTATAGTCACTTTAGAAATATTGGACAGACAAAAGAACATAACTGGGGAAGAACAATGGAATGGGAATTAGACCAAGCCTATAAAAGACTTAATCACTCAAAATCTCTTATCCACATAAGAATTTTCTGGCATAAATTCAGACTTCTCTAGCAATGGTTCCCGAAGGATATCCTGAAGAGCAAATGGATTAAGATGTACCCAGCCAGGAAATCAGAAGCAACAGAAAGATTTTTTTCCCTAATCTTTATATTTTTATTTTTTTTCGTCACAATTTATTCATTATATATCACAATTGAAGCCCCTTCTCTCAACCCCCCCCCCAGTCCCACCCTACAGAAAGAATTTTAGATGGAGGATACTCAGTGTAGGATTTGTTTTCCCAACTGATAGAAAGGAATGCTGCCCAGAGGTCATTCACTATGGGGAAATAAAGGGCATGTGTCAGTCCTGGCTCTGGATGAGTGCCGAGTGAAGGGGAGCAGAATGTCCTGCTTGGAACTGTGGATCTCCACTCTGAGACCACCCCAGCCCTGGCTGACCACATACTTAAGTATATACACCATTAAAGCCTGTCAGTGTTGGGTGCCTTCTCCCTTCCTGATACTTTTCATTGTAGAGTTGTCATATTCCAGTTTATATTTGTCTTCCAATGACCTGGAGGAAGAAACATGACTTAGCTCGTGTCCTGAATTTGGGATAGTAAAGTAGGCATAATTGGCTCTGCCTTCCTCTTCTTTTGAAAGTACATTCCTTGTGCAAAATCGGTACTGCCCACTGTCTCTTCATATTACCCCTGAATTCCTCTACCTAGTATGTATATTCAGGCCACTGTTCTGGCCTTGGGATTTCTTATAGGAGATGCAGACAAGAAGCAATTCACATAGCTAGAATCATGTTAAATACAGAAAAAATGAAATAAACGGAAGTGCTTCCTAACCCCAGTCCCTCAGTGTAGAAGGAGAGAACCAAATCCAGCAGACTGTCTTCTACCCTTAATGTACTTGCACATGTACACACATATATTAAATACTGAAATATGAAATACTTAAGGATATTTTATGTTTAAAAACTATTGGGTTTATATTTAAATACAATGTAATAAAAGACTTTGTGAAAGCAAAATCAGAAGTAAGATGGTTGTGGGGGGATCAAGATTGGTGAGTTGGTAGTACAGAGTAAGCAATGTAGTTGAGAGGAGCTTCCCGAAGAACATAAAGACATTGGATAGGTAGCTGTTTGGGAGAATTGTGTTAAGAGACAGGGGAGAACTCTGAAAAGGACCTATGTGTATGTTCAGTGTATGTGAGGGACAGCTCAAAGTGGTAGGGTTCACAGAAAGAAAGGAGGTCTAAGAGGGCAGGGAGAGGTCCACAGGCCCACCCACACCAACACAAAGGATCTCTGCTTGGAGCTCAGAACCTTGACAGTCATAGGCTTCTGAGGTAAACTGTAACTCTTCTTCTGAATCTGAGCCATCACGTGTTCCCAGTTCTGAATAGTCACTGAGCAGCTGGTGCAGGCACAGCCTGTGGGCCTAGGTAGCATCCATCTCTCTCATTTGAGCAACGCTGTCAACTGAGTCTATACTTAGCATCTTAAGTAGCTTTGTCAGTCTATGGAGGGACTCTCAGCTCACTCACCTCCCTTTCATCAGCCTTGCATCTAAAACAACAAGAACTACAGCAGTGGCTCAATAACTACGACAAATGAGCGTGGTGGATTTGTTTTGCCTTCTGTGGAGGAAGCGCTCAGAGTCTGGTGCTCAGCCCCCAAGAGGGAAGACTGAGAGTCTTTCAAAGGGTCTGGGAAGGGGCAGGCATTTGCACAGCAATAAACTCATCCTCCCCTTTTCATTTTCATCCTACATGTGATTTTTTTTTTTTTTGGTGGAACTTTCCAGGCGTTATATGGCATGTCATAGAAAAATAGATTAAGTTCAGAAGCAAATTGAAGCCCTCTCTTTTCCAGCTACATATTTGTGTGAGTCATGATTCTCTTTATATATTTCCATCAAAATAACATATTACAACAGATTGAGAGCAAACACATGGGAATCCAGCTGTCATCTATTAAGCCAAACTTAAAGAGATTTGCAAAAAGTTAAGACATATCACTCTTCTCGCTACATATTTTTTTGAAAATGAAATTGCTTTTCAGACAAGACCAATTTATGTTAATACAGAAGTTTGCTGTTACTTGTAAATCATTCATAAACATTAATTTCCCCCACCACAATTTTAGTTTTTAATAAAGTAATTATCAACACATATAATCCACATAAACAGAAATGAGGGCTTGTTTGGTATTTTAAGGTTTTAAAGTTTGAGAATGAGTGCCTTGGAAGGCATTGATGCAGACACCTCTTGTCATGCTGTGGTAAGCTCCATCAGAAGGCTGCTTCCAAACCCTATTTCCTGGTTTCAAGATATCATATAAGCACACAGCCATATCTCTCAGCTTGGTTGTCTTTGGGGTATCTATGTATGTGTAAAAATTCTTCGATTAATGTCTACCTTCAGTAAAAAAAAAAACAAAAAAAAAAAACATTTTTAAGGCTCTGGGGATGACCTTGCTCAGACTAGGCAGGTGCTCTACCCCAGAACCATATCCTTAGCCCTCTATAAAATGTACTTTTGCTTACAGGTATCTGGAGAGTTGCAGGAAATAAAAAGCTGGACTCTTGGGAGAACATATTGGTGGTTGGGATGAACAAGGAAACAAGGTGGATGTGAACAACCTGCAGTCAGATGCCTGGACTCACATCAGGACTCTAATGACTACTTCCCAAGGACCAGCCCTTTGAGGAGCTATTGCAGAGTATCATTCACCTGGGCTGGATGGTATAACCATATATTTATATACTCTATCCCAAACCCAGTGAACTGAACTTTGTGACTGGAATACAGAAACCTTCATGTTTTCAACTTCTAGAGTGATTTCTGAAGCATCCAGGATTGAGACCTTTAAATCATACTTTCAAAAATCTGTCAAGTAGTTATGGGAACGAAGGACTTGTGATTTTGTAGTGAATGTTACTCCCTGCCACATACTGCAGGCTTGTTCTATCTACCTTGGTGATTAGTGTTTTGGGATTAGGGAGGCTGTATGTCCAGCCTTCCCTACTTAAACAGCAACCCCCATCCTGAGAGGTGCTGTGTGTTCTCACCTGCTCCAGGGCACTGCACCAACAGGTCTATGCTGTAACTGCTCCAGCCTCAGGGTGAGGAAGTATAGGGAAATGGAAGTCAGAGGAGAGACCCTTTGCATAGGCATGAACAGGAGTGTCCAGGAACAAAAGCCACAGTTCTCAGAACTGTGAAAGAGAACAGAAGGTGGATCTTGATCTCTGCTGAGCTGACTCACAGGTCTCAGCGGAAGATCCTGGTTGCTTCTGTCAACGTTGAAAAGTGTTGGCATCAGCATTCAGGCAGTCAGTGGATACTAATAATTAATGGCTTATCTCTGTGTGCAGGAAAAGGTCTTTCAGTCGTCATTCTTGGTCATTTCCCTCTTGTCATTTAGCTCTAATATGAAATAGAACCCCACTGACTTTCCTTCCATATACCCAGTCACAAATTGAGATCACTCCACTTTTTGCATGGAATTTTAATTTGGACTTTTATAAATATTAAGGTGTGTTTGTGTGAGTGTGCTTTCTTTTATGCTTCTTCAGGCCAGAACCCAGTCTGTGTCTTCCCTGACTACTCTCTATTTTAGTTTTTGAGATAATTTCTCTCATTCATTCATCTATGTTGGTTGGTGAGTAAACTCCAAGTATGCTTTTGTCTCTGCTACCCATAGCTGGGAGGACTTTCATGAAACATCATAAGCAGCTTTTTAGGTGGGTGGTGAGGATCCAACCTCAAGTGCTCGTACTTGCAGGGAAAACATGTTACACATTTGCTTGAAATGCAGTATCTACTCTTGACAGTGGAGTAAGCACCCTATGCATGTTAATTATGTCATTTGACCTATCCAGGTCATTCCATTTTAATTAGTTTTCAATTAATTGAATATTTTATGCTATGTATCTTGACCATATTCACCACCCCCAACTTCTTTCACAACTGTAGTGGTTTGAATGAGAATGGTCCCTATAGGCTCATATATTTGAATGTTTGGTCATTAGGGAGTGGCACTATTTGGAAGGATTAGGAGGTGTGACCTTGTTGGAGAAGGTGTGTCACTAGGGGTGGACTCTGATGTTTCAGAAGCCCAAGCCAGACCCAGTGGTTCTCTTCCCCTGCTTCCTACTGATCTGAATGAAGAACTCTGAGCTACTTTCCCATCACTGTCTGCCTGCCTGTCACCATGCTCCCATTGTGATGGTAATGGAATAAATCTCTGAAACTGTAAGCAAGCCCCAATTAAACATTGTTTCTTTTAAGAGTTGTCATGGTCACAGTATTTCTTCACAGCAATGGAACACTAAGTTAAAGCAACATCCACCCTTCCTTTCCTACCCACTTGACTTTGTATCTTTTTTTTCCCCCATAAAATATGATTTGTGATGCCCATGTATTCTTGGAGATGCAGCCTTCTGTTGGAGTGTGGCCCATTTACCAGGAGCCACATTCTTTAAGAAAACTGACTCTTCCTCTCAGGAGCAATCAGTTATAAACAGCTCTTCAGTTAGAGGTTGGACTTTGTGCCCACCTTCCCTCTGCATGCAGGATGTTGGCCTGGCATAAGCTTTCATAGGCCTTGTGCATGTTGTCAAGCCTGCTGTGAGTTTACACGTGAAGCTGCCCCCCCCCCCCCCGGCTCTTACACTCTTCCTGATCCTCTTCGGCAATGATCTCTGAGCATCATTGGGAGAAGGAGGTATGATAGGTACTCCAATTAGGGCTGGGCTTTCTCTTATTCTCTGCATCATGGTAAGTTGTGTGTCTCTGTTGATCACCATCAACTGCAAATAGAAGCTTTGGTGATGAGGGTTAATAGATAAACTGATCTATAGATATATGGTAAGTCATGAAGAGTCAGTTTGATAGCATATCCATTTAGCAGAATAATAATATAGTAGGTTCTCCGCTAGGACCTATGACCTGCATAGCTACAGACTTTTAGCCTCCAGTGCCAGGGTGTGGGTTCCAATTTACAAAGTGGGCTTTAAATCCAACCAGAAAGTAGTTGGCTACAACTATTGTTCCAGTGGACATGTCTGGCAAAGTCATTCATTAAAATAACTTGCAGAATTCAGAGATGGGTGTGATGATAATTATTCCCCCTCTGGTGGTATCTGTAGCACCATCCAGCACTATGAAACCTGGCCAATAGAGAGAACGCTTCCAGGTCAGTACCAGCTTGAGCTCTTTATGTTTTATGACTCAAGTATGTGTCATCTTCAGCAATACGGCCTTACCAGCATGTTCTGGGCGGTACCCAAGAGGAATGGCAATAGCCTGTAATGTTTGGAGGTCTACGGAGCCTCGCTGGCAACAACTCCAAAGAAGGTAACACATTACTGGAATTGGATTTTATTTGTTAATTTTTTGTGTCTGATAGAAGCATTGTCACCCAGTAATAGGGTAATATTTTATGTATTTATCTTTCTGTGTATATATGCACACACATACTTTAAAAGTACTAGTAGTTTTGTTTCTTTGTTTCTTTCTTTTTCTTTTACTTTTCTTTTCTTTTCTTTTCTTTTTTTTTTTTCGAGACAGGTTTCTCTGAGTAGCCCTGGCTGTCCTGGAACTTGCTCTGTAGACCAGACTGACCTAAAACTCAGAGAAATCCATCTGCCTCTGCTTCCAAAGTCCTGAGATTTAAGGTCTGTGCCACCCTGCCCGGCTTCCATATGACTTAAGGGAAGTTATTACTTATGTGTGTGTACTTACCTGCATAAAACATGAGTGCCTGATACCTACAGAGATCTGAAGGCAGTACTGTATCCTCTGGAGCTGGAATTCTGAGTATCTGCAAACCACATGTGTGTCCTGAACTGATCCTGGATTCTCTGCAAAAGCAATCAGTACTCTTTTTTTATTTGTATTTTTATTATCTTTATTTTTTACAATTTATTCATCTTATATTCTTATTATAGTCCTCTCTTTCATCTCCACCTGGTCTCATCTTCCCTACCTCTTCCTCCCTATCCCTTTCCCCTAGTTCACTGAAAATGGGAGTCCTCCTTTCCTGCCATCTGACCTTAGCTTATCATGTCTTATCAGGACTGCCAGGATCTTCTTTCTCTCTGGCCTGGGAAGGCCACATCACTAGGGGAAAGTGATCAAAGAGCAGGCAACCGAGTTCATGTCAGAGACAGCCTCTGCTTCCCTTACTCAGGAACCCACATGTAGACCGAACTGCCAATCAGCTACATTAGAACAGGAAAGGGATCTAGCTCCTCTCCGTGCATGGACTTTGGTTGGTACATCAGTCTCTGTAGGCCCCCGTGGGCCCAGATTTTTGGCTTTGTTGGTCTCCTTGTAGAGCTCCTGTCCCTTCCGGGTCCTTCTATTCTCCCCTTCTTCCAGAGAACTTCCTGTGCTCTGCCCAAAGTTTGACTGTGTGTCTCTGCATCTGCTTTGATCCCCTGTTGGGTATAGCCTTTCAGAGAACCTCTATGGTAGGCTCCTGTTCTACTCCTTCTTTTCCATTGCTTCTGGTGTCTACTCATTCATAATGACAACCTGTACTATTAATGGCTGAGCCATCGCTACAGTTCCCCTAACCCATGGATTTTATTTTTAGCTTTTTCTTGATTTTTGGTGAATTTTGCTTCATGCATCCCAATCCCTCTCATCTCCCTGTTTCTTCTTATCTGCACTCTGCTCTGCAAAAGAAAATGAAACAAGATAGAATAAAAAACAAAACCACAAAACATCTTGTCATGAAAGTTGTAGTGTGTCACAGGGTTACACAGCATACCCATTTGTCTACTTGCAGTGTTCGTTGCAATGGGTCATCGCTCTGTTCTGAGCTCTCTGGTTTCTGCCAAACCATCCCTACTGGATCCTCAGGGGACTCCTCTTGGATATCCAGTTGTTGCCCAGAGTCATGGAGATCCTGAAGCTTTGAATCTGCAGGATTAGTTCTTCTCCACACTCCAGCAGATCATAGATGTTACCCTCCTCTATGTTGGTGTTGGTCAACTTAAAGTCCTGGATCTGAATCTGGGAAGTAGTTGAGTTGGTCAGGGCACCAGCTCTCCTGGGCCCATACCACCAGGGAGAGCTCTCCAGCACTGCCCCAAGTAGCTCACCTAGAGCAGAGCTGGTTAGAGGCAGGGTCAGCTTTCCTGCTTTCAAGCCCTTGGGCCAGCTCACCCATGCCTTTGCCAGCAGGGCCAGTTGTACTGTGCTCCCCAGGTGAGGTACAAGGCCCATTGTCCCAAGTGCTGCAGTTACTGAGGGGCAGGGCAAGCTCTGCTTAGTGTGATGGCTGGTGAGAGGTGGCATCAGGACAAGACGGTGCCTCGAAGGTGGTTCACATCTGCACTGCCTTTAGTGATAACATGGGCCTGGGATATGAACACAGACCTCTGATGCCATAGGACCACAGACCCAGATATGGTCCCTGGCAACAACACAGGTCAGGATGTCCCCATGGCCTCAGGTAGCAATGCACGCCAATCAGACCAGCATTTCCCTCAGTGGCAGCCTGGCCTTCAGACATCCACATGGTCTTTGGTGGCAACACACACGTTTGGTATTTGATGGTAACTCTGACCACAGACATTGATATAGACCCCAGCTGTAGCAGGACCTTGGTCCTTGACTATAGCCAGGGCTAGGACCTCACCATGGCCTTCTCATATCTGCCTGCTCCTCACTGCTTTCAAGTCTCCCTTTCTACCTTTCTCCACAGTGTGAACCCCTTGGCTTCTCTTTCTCTTCCATCTCTCCAATGTGTATACCATCTTTCCCATCTCTCCGTCACACATTTACCCAATGCAGTGACATCTGTGGCAGGTGCTTGGGTGTCTTTTATCCAGCTGTTGTGGGTCCTCCATGGATTTTTTTGAAAGGTCTTTTTTGGTGGTTATCCCTCCCCATAGCCCATGCTTTACCCTGCCCATACCAATTTAACCCTTCCCCTTTCACTATTCCCTTTAGCCGTTTAGGTCACTGGGTTCTATCTTCATCCTTTGAAAGCCAGGACACCTTAAAAATTCCTATGCCTGTGTGGGTATTCCAAATTAAAAAAAAAAAAAAAAGATGTCTGGAGATTCATAGCTAACACGCACAGATGAAAGAAAACATGCAATGTTTATCTTTTCATGCCTGGCTGCCTTTCTCAGAATTATTGTTCTCTGTATTCAGCTCTAGCCATTCACCTGTGAGTTTCACGATTTCATTTTCTGAGAGCTGAAGATATCTTTCGTGTAAATGTACCATATTTTCATTATCCATTCGTACACTGATGGACATCTGAGCTATTTCCATTTTTTGGCGATTGTGAATAGAGAAGCAGTGAATCAGGGTGAGCAGGTATTTCTATGAGAGGATATAGAGCCCTATATAGGATATATAGCTGGCTTATGTGGTAAGTTTATAGCTTTTAGAGGAACCTCAACACTGATTTCCAGCTGGCACTGATTTCCTTGATGGCTACACCAGCAGCGAACAAATATTCCTCTTTTCCCCACACCTGCACCAGCATCTGCTGTCATTTAGGTTTTTGATCTTTTGCTTTTTGAACTTGGTAAGGTGAAATCTCAAAAGTATTTTTAATTTGTGTTTCCGTGATGGCTAAAGATGTTGAATATAAAAGTGTTTCTCATTTATTTGTATTTCATTTTTGAGAACTCTGTGTTTAGTTTCTTGCCCCTGTTTTTAATCAGACTGCTTGTTTTTTAAGTTTAGAGTTAAATTCTTTTTATAGTCTAGATAACTCTATGTCAGATTACAGACGGTTCACCTTATTTTTTCAGTGTATTAGGTTTTCATTGTATAAATTTTTTGCTTCTTGGTAAATTTACTCCAAGATATTTTATCTTATTTTTCTGAAGCAATTGTGAATGGTATTGTTTCCTTAATTTTCTTCTCTTTGTGTTTGTTCTTTCTTTATATTATATATGAAGACTACTAATTTTTCTGTGTTAGTTTTGTATCCTGCTCCTTTTCTGTATCAGTTTTCTGGTAGTCTTTAATGTATAAAATCATATCACATGCAAATAAAGATATTTTGCTTGTCTTATTGTTCTAGTTAAGACTTGAAGCATTATACTGAACATCCATCACTATATTAAATCTAATTTTAGTACAAACGCTTTGCATTTTTCTCTATTTATGACGATGTTGACAGTGGGCTTCTTGTATTTTGTCTTTGTTATGTTGAGCTATATCCCCTATATTTTTTTATAAGTTCCCTAAGACTTTTATCATAAGTGGATGTTGAGTTTTGTTAAAGGACTTTTGTACATATAATGAGATTAAC